GTATTTTGTGGATTGTGGAAAACGTTTGAATAACGAGGAAGGGAGACGGTAGTAATTCTTAACATTCGCGTTCTACGGTAGCCAGCCTTCAGAACTCTCTAGGTGGCACACAGCAGTAACACTTTAATACGGACGCAGCATGTTAGACTACTTGGAGCATTGAAAATGTGCTCAAGGATGTAGTTTTATAAGTTAGTTGATATTTTCTGACTTTGTCAACGAGAACCCTTGGTGGGTTCGGCTCTCCATTTAGAAATACTTGCGACCGTCCGGAGTTAGCGCGAGAACCCACACCCGGCCTTACTCGGCAGCCTAAACGTAAATAGGATGCTTGCAAGAAGACGTATGTGGCATTTCTGGGGTAAATGGTGCAAGAAAAGTGGTTGTGTGCAACTGTGGGAGTGCCTTCCCTTGGAGTGCGGCAAAACGGGTTGCAACTCGTGTCAAGACACTTCCTGTCCCGTTGCTCCAGGCGCTTGAACCGCAGTTGTCAGGACGCCTAGAGGCTGAGGGGGGACTTAAAGTGCTTTTCACGGAACTTTCCCCATAAGAATTTGGCCCTGTTGCAGGTTGTAATGGTCAATGCGTACGTTCCCGGACCCGTTTTACACACCTAGTAGCACACAGTGGCACGTGCGAGGAACGAAACTTATACCCACACAAAAGGCGACCTGAAGGAGGAGTGAACAACTCTGAGGATAGAAGGTTCTTCTAAGTCATCTAGAAATAACAGCAAGTTTTGGGAACTCATCCCAAATCTGTCAAATCTCAGCCTTCCACTCTCAGAAGAATGGGCAATAAACATGATCTGCCATCTGACGGGGAGGCAACCTACGGCTGGAAGCCTCGTCAACTTGAATAGACCCAAACTCGTGCATTCCAACCACAGGAAAGTGCTTCTAGAGCCAAAGAAATTCACGAGGAATGCTTTCACCTCAGCCGACCATCCACATTTAGCGGCTGCCAGGATGTACGCAGTGGAGGAGATATTTCCTTTCCTGTATGTCGGTTTTCGTCGCCAACAAGCACCAAAAGAGTTTCATTTACTATTGGTTTTTTCGTTATTAGAATGGGAGGCACAACAATGGTGGCTATCAAACCAAGGGCACTACTTCTCCGAACGCATCCGCCCTTCAAACGATTTTCGGCAAGCACTGTGATGCAGGTTTATTGTGAGATCGCAAAAGAACAGGATATAGAAGAGTTGGGAAGTACTGAGGAAGGGAAGCTAGAGAAAGGTGGCTATAGTATGATGAATCAGTAACCGGTCAACAGGTGCCCAACGATCTGTTTGGAGCCTTGAAGATTTATAGCAGTGAAAGACCATGGAGGACCGCAACCGGTAACCAGCCGATAGGGGATTAGAGGTGAAGGAGTTGACTGTTCCGAGCTTATGGAATACTCGCGCAACAAAAGGAGAAAGGATGGAGCATATTCCTGGAGACGAGGAAAAATGACAACGGGTGTGGACATGATCCGCAAAATAAGCTTATGTATGCTGGGCTGTGAATGCGAGCCCCATCTAGAAAGTGAAAAGATGCAGAAATGCAGAGCAGCGGAGAAACTCGGTATCCGGAAAGGGGAGAAGGCGTAGAAAGCGGCGCATGAGCTTCTTCTGCAATAAATCAGGTCACAGAATTACAGCATGCACTACACAGATTTAGAATTACACATGCAGGCGTATGAAAAGGGGAACGGAGTTCCACAAGCAAGCCTTTGAGAAGCGCTAGCAGGCAAACAACCAATGTGGCCACGTAATTCCGGGGCCATCACACAATGCGCGGCACACTGATGGGGCTGAAAGGGGTGACACCCTCACCCACAAAACATTCTTTCATTTCTGTGCATATCCAAGCTCGCAATAGTGTTGAATCTCTTCCAACGTTGTTTGGCACAGGCTGCGGTTTCCATGATCTCTGCAGATGCGGGAAATACGCGCAGTCTTCCAACCCATTCATTAGAAAACTACTGACTGCTACGTTCTGAGCATGGTAGGCAGGACACACAAATTGCGAGAAGTACAACCCTAAAATGACAGCTATATTCAGAAATGCATCGTAGGACCCTGATACGTGACTTTTATATTGGACTTGCTCACCAGGACGACCACCCATTCGTGAAATCATCATTCCTGGAATATTTATAGTCCTCTGAAAAGCATCAAAGATGGCGAAAACACAATGTTTATCGGCGCCCTTTGCCCCGAATTCATGAAGCGACTTAATACCGCCACAGCACAGCCGCCCTGAACCATCCAGGGGCAGACGGTCAAGGTGAACTCGCTTTGGAAACATGGAATGAGATCACTACTCAGAAGGGCGCACGCAGGGTGAGTAGACAGTTGGACAACCGGGCACCCGCGAATTGAGAAAACCTCAACACTGAAAAGACCTGGGCCCGTACCGCAGCGGCTACTTCCCACGCAAAAAGACAGTCATATTAATCAATATCGCAGATGGATGAAGCAGCTGCTTTGCCTCTAAAAGCAGCATTTTGACAACGGTTGCTTGGAGAACAAACAAAGTAAAAATGGGATGGCCCTGGTTCCTTGCTATACGGATATTTGCCATACAAGAATCCACCCCTTGAGCCCTGTGCCTCCAGCTCATATGCTTTAGAGCAGTTCTCTGGTCCGATATTGTGACGGGTTGTTGGAGCCCAGCCGAGTCCGCTGCTCCTGGGCTTGGTGCACATTTGGGTTTTTCACAGAATGGTGGAAATAATAAAACACCCGTACAAGAAAGCCGGGCACGTCGCTCCAACAAACGAATTTCGGCAGATGTTGTTAGTGTAGCTCCTATGGTTGTGGGCAGCCTGCTCACTTTGCGAAGTTCGCAGGTTCACTGTGCTTTACGCAGGGCTTTTTACTGTGGTTTGTTCTGAAGTTAGCGCGTTGACCAGCATTGCTAAAGCTTCGCCAACGTAGATGTTTCAACATAGGGCTAACGGTAGTTTTATAGTACGTCTCCAGAAATCGCCGACATTTCCGCGAGTCGCTCGACTAAGCCTCACCACCGTTATTGTGGGAAGGAGAAACTGGAGGACGCTGAGATTCTGGGCACGCAGCAACCTCGCACAGATTAAATTTCGTTGAAACAGAAAACAGAAACCTGAGCATCGTTTGCATTATGCAGTTCCTCAGGGGCGTATAGGTGCACTACTTGACTAAGCAGCATATGCAGGCATGGGCAGCGCAAATTTTCGCCGCGTAAGCCCATTTGGTGATAATTTCTGAGGCCTCGTACCATTGTATCTCCGAGATATTTGACTTAAGTAGTTTGTTTCCGGTTATATGCGTTTTCCTCTATTGCTGTGGGTAGGCCCGCCCCATCGTTCGCAACACAATAATTTGACTTCTGTGCTGTGTCCCCATCGGGATTGGGGGGATCCCAGCCTCACAAGCACACTGATGCTGCGTGCTTCCGGCATTTAACTACATATGTTGTATTCATTTCTGGTGACTGAGTAGTATCCAACCCTTAGCTCGATTTCGGCAGGCCAAAATAAGATGACGCCATGCCAGGTCATTCTTCTCCAACTGATACTAATGGCGAGTCCTACGCATTACATTGTAAATTGGGATCCCAGCGGATCATTTTCTCCAAGCACTTACAGGGTTCTGTACTTGACGTCCGCTATTAGTGGTTTTCCGTCATCCACCGTTGCTGGAGTATAGGGTCGTCTTTGGGTTAATGAAAAGAGGGGTTTGGCGCGGAAACGCATCCAGAGCGACAGGCTCTTTTGCACACTCACCATCCAAGCTGTATATCAGAAAAATCTTGGAGGCAAGAGCCAACTCCAATTATTTCCATCTTTGGAAGCAATGTGGGCCCATCCAGGGCGCAGCCTAGGAATATTCCGCATACGGTACTGATATGTAACGGTGCGCTTAGGTCTATTTGTTTTGTACTGAGTCACAAGAACTTGGAATTGCTTTGGTGGTTCTCCATTATAGTTCTGAGGACTTTGTGGCTCAGCAGTCCAAATTAACCTGAGGAAGCCTGTGTACCTATTCATAGCAGTGATGTCTCGCTATTCTTTCCTCTGTTTTGTGCACACGTTCCTGAACTCCTGCAAGGTTTGTCCAGAACTAGAAAGAGGCTGGCGCACACTGATGGCAGCTAGAAACAGGTTCAGCATCCGGGTCCGATGATGATTGTATCAAATCTTCATTACAACCACGGTTTTAACGCCAGGGCTACTGGGTTGCTCCTTCAGTTGTTTATTGCATTTTCCCAATAGCACTAACGGCAACAAATTTCACTGCCGCCCTGGCAATTCTGCCATGCTCATCTCATGTTACCTTCTACCTGGACCCCGCGCATGTAGAAGGTGCACAGTAGTTTATACACGAAATAGAGAAATTAAATAATGATTCATGTTGTTGCGTCAACTGCCGGGTATGTTGTTGCTATAATACTTCAGTTGTCGTGAAAGTGCAATGCGATTGGCTTTGGACACCATTGGATATCTGGAAAAGCTAACTCGTATGGGCCTAAACATAAATAGCGAGGGATTATAAGGCTACATGATCCAAGAGTGAATGAACTTAGTGCCCTTTCAATATTCAACACATGGCAGCAACCCCTCTATGGCTAGGCTAGACTGGGGGAGGAAAACAAATATCTAGGACTTCGGCCTTAACGGTTTGCTTTCCTTACTGTAGATTCCGAAGCTCAAGGCGTCTTAAAGGTAGCACTTCCATATTTTTGCTGGGAGCCAGGGGTTTCTGGCCAAATAAAGCCACCCTACAATGCGCCGCTACAGAGGTGTCACGTGGATTTCGCTAAGGAGAAACTGACAAGAAATCCGTCAGATTTAGGACAGTACTTATTCTTGTAATGCATTTCATACCTCTTCAAATTCGGAGAGAAGCTGGAAACAAGTGACTGAGATCTTGAGGGCCGCATCCATTCTTGCCTGTAAATTCTTGCGTTCTTGTTCACCCCACGAGTCGCACCCCCTGCATGCGTTTGCATGCAGGGGGGGCGACTCGTGGGATGATTAATCGTGTCCAGAGGTTTGGGTGCCTGACCAGGAAATATACGGGAGTCGGCATGAGAGGCTCCATGGAGGGGCATGGGCTGAAGGAGAAGAAGCGCAGACAGCGAGGGATGCAGAAGAAAAACCTATCCACCGTGCCATCTACCGGGTCAGGCGAAGCCCTGCGGCTAAGCAAAGGAGGCCAAGCGGCTTCCCGCCAGGGGACTCTATGGTATGGCCTGACGCAGCTCAACGGGGCGTCTCGGCAACCGTGGTGGGGGCTGGCAACATCGAAAGAAGATAACTATATCTCTTCCTGGCTCGTTGCAGGCAAGGCGTTTGAACGGTATCGGAGAGCTGTGGCTGGTGTCCAAAAGGTGGCTTCGCTTGTACGGCTCAATAGATACGAGGAGGAGGGGGCGTTAGCCAGTACAGCACCTGAGTTGCACAACTAAAACTTTCCAAACCATGGTAGCAAAATGGTTTTCTGAATTACTGTCGTTTCAAATCGCGTGTCCTGTTAACCGTCCAAGAGACGTAGCCGCAAAGGCTGCCACAAGAAATGGACTGGAATATTACATATCCTCGGCACGGGCTTGCAAGTGTCGACAGCAATTCCTTGGTTGTTGTTGTGACCACGCCTCCCTATGAGGCATGACTGTTGAGTGCGCAACCAGCTGTGAACAGAGGAGTGTCCTAGTCCCCACTCTGCCCACATATAGTGCGAGTCCACGGGCGTGCACGCGATTCCACCATTGGAGCCCTCGTATCCGGGCAGTTTGTCTTCGTCCACGGAGCCGAGTGCTCCGGGAAGGGAAAGTGCTGCTGCTTCTCCACCGTTAGACGAATTTGGGGGACTGGACCACCGGGAGCCTTTCGGATGGGCCCCTTCAACCGATGATGGGGCGCTCGTTTCAAATGCTTCCATAGCCAGAGGACGATCAAGACGTGATCGCAGCAACTTTGCACAGCCAGAAGCAACTACTGACAGGAACAATAACGGATACGCCCCGTCGAGGCGGCCTGATATTGGCCTCTCCACTAACACCCGCGCGGAACCAAAGAATCAGGTTCCAGAATCAGGTTCCATCAATCTGTGGGGCTGCTGGGGCCCTAACCGGAGTTATCGTTCAGGCGCATATGGCTTAATTCCAAACGCATGAGGAGTTCAAGTAGTAGCGACACAAGCGTTCGTAGCGTTAATATGCGTGCTCTTGAGTAGGTTGAACATCAACAGCAATCCCTTGCCGTTGATGTTCAACCTACTCTTCTGTACGCACAGACAATTCGACACACTACTTCACTGTGTCTCTTCGTGGAGGACTTCAAGACCAACATATTCCACGTCATAGTCCTCCGAGAGTCACGTAGAGGAATGAGGCGCTCTCTGTCCTAGGTTTCGGAGTGGCCATTTGTGAAGGGGCGAAGGGCTTTTGTAGTTCCGGAATGGTCCCTAAAGTAGGGAAGAGGAGTGTGGATATGTCGGCATGCTTTCGATACCCCCGTATTTGTTGGTTTGAGTGCCCGTTTCCCGGTTGAGTGGCGCAGCGCAAATACTAGTGTGGATGTGCTTTCACACGCCGTCAACGGGTCGAGTCGTTCATTGCCACAATTAACATGCGATGGAATGTGCCCTTGCATGTTTCGGTGAAGAAACATCGCAATTACCTTCTGATGTGGATGCCAATAGTGTACGTATCTCCATGCGAAGACATGTTGCTCGTGTTTTCTTTTGCATCTAACCTACGCTCACTAGTGCCAAAGAATTGCCGCTTCCCTAGCTGTTATGATGACAAACTCTCCTGCGGTGCCTCTGCACAGCCTGGCCAGTGATGGCGCATCTTCACAACCAGTGGAGAAGAACTGCGGTGTGAATTGACTATCCTGATATGAGAAAAATCGGGGTTTAAGCCTCAAGACTTGCAAGCCGAGGAATTAGTTTGAGGAAGCCTCATCTGTATGTCTTTTGGATGTTGTCGTACCATCCAGTCGGTTCATTCCCAACGAGTAACTGTATGCGGTGCAGTTGAGCATGAAGCATGCCACTGGCACCACAGTGTTGCACAACGGTCACGCTGCCCTGTCTCTGTACGTTACGTTTTGTGCAAACGGATACAGGCTCACTGGCTGATGATACATCACTACATCCCCGTTAATGCGCGATTTGTCGTCCAACGTTAATTAAGCTGATGCGGACGATGCGACCAGGTGCTGCCATGTATCTAACTACGTTGTCATGTCACTCACGTGGTAAACGAAACTTAAGCTTTTAATCGACAAAATACAGGGTAGTGTTAGAATTGAACTGTCACCTTTACACTGTAAAGTGTCAAGGCGATGGTTAAAAATGTTTAGTGTTTACATTTGTTATGTATATCAATTAAAGATATTTTAGATTTTAATATATGCGCGTTATAATAAAGCTTGTTATTAATAATTTCACCCTACTTGCTATTATTTCTTCCTACTCCGTAAGTCACTGAATCTGGAGAAACACATAGTACATAGACATGGACGAAGCAATTGCCATTTGACTCATGCGCTGGCGATTGCATTGTCCGTTGGGGCCATCCCTTTTGCGAAGCAAACGGAGTAGGGAGGAAGCTCACTCACTGTACACATAACAGCCCTATGCGGGAGGAAGGAATTACACCCAGACTAAAACGACACAAACGAAACAAGCGAAAAACCGAGAGATGCCAAAGCACGGTCGGCGGCTGGACGGAGACGCAGCCTAGATTGAAAGAATATCCAGAGATCACCACCCATCGTTTCGTCGACGGGAAACCGAAACACGTAGCTTTTGCGACACCAGTTAACCTCCTGAATTTCCTCTTTACACATCAGCATCCCGAAGCTCATACTTGGCTTCGCTAGGTTCCCCCAGACCCAATGCAGCGGGCAGCGGCATTTCATTTAGCGGTCAAGACGGGTTCAGCAAACAGGATTCATCGCATTGGCGATGCAACTTGAATTTCGAGGCTTCTGGCTCCCCTATCTAGTAACCCAAATACTTCGCCAACGTCCTACTCGCCTTGACGCTTACTGCCTGAAAGGATCACTCAAAGGCATCTCATATATCACGGTTATATATGAACAGCCAGTTGCGCCTCCATCCACTCTCGATGCACGTGCCCATATATTTGTAGTGCGCATATTTGGCTTCCCTAGGTTTCCGGAGGCGCACATCCTTTAGCGGTCAAGACGGGTCCAGCAAACAGGATTCATCGCATTGGCGATGCAACTTGAATTTCGAGGCTTCTGGCTCTCCTATCTAGTAACCCAAATACTTCGCCAACGTCCTACTCGCCTTCACGCTTACTGCCTGAAAGGATCACTCAAAGGCATCTCATATCGCGATTATATATGAACAGCCAGTTGCGCCTCCATCCACTCTCGATGCACGTGCCCATATATTTGTAGTGCGCATATTTGGCTTCCCTAGGTTTCCGGAGGCGCACATCCTTTAGCTGTTAAAATGGGTCAAACAAGCACAATTCATCGCTTTGAAGAATTTTAAATACAACTTAAAGTCATATAATATAGCGATTTTTTATAAGCCCCCAGTTGTATGCTAATCGATGTTCTCGGGCATTCGCCGCACAGCTCCAATGGTAGGCAGCACTGGAGTTGGATCCATTCGGCTTTGAAGAATTTTAAATACAACTTAAAGTCATATAATATACGGATTTTTTATAAGCCCCCAGTTGTATGCTAATCGATGTTCTCGGGCATTCGCCGCACAGCTCCAATGGTAGGCAGCACTGGAGTTGGATCCATTCTCGCTGCATGAGTACAAATAAGTCACATGAGGAACTTATATTCAGCTGCCATCACACATCAACATATACCTTCCGGAAACAAATAAGAAACTCTCATTGTAAACGATGTTGTGGACTTCTCCAGGCGCACCTGCGTCGAGTTCACTACTGCTCCTTCGGTATAAACACAAAACGCCGCATTCAACATAAACTCCAGCACACTTACTCACACGGGCCACCGATCACTGAAGTCCACAAGCCACACCAGTTGTACGTATTTCGTTCCCCTGGGTCTCCAAAGGCACACTTTCTTCAAACATCGAGTTGGGTCGATCCAGCATACTTCATTGAACTGTAGGTGCAAGAGTGTTTCCGAGGTTGATGGAAGCGCAATGTAGCACACCAAACGCGCAGAAAACGCAAACCACTCCTCGCCTAGACACTCACAAGCTGAGCGGATCATTTAGACGCCTCGAATGTCGACGGACCTTCGTTATCAGCAACGACGTACATCGGGAATCCATATTGGCGAATATCAAGGGAACTGCTGCCAGGAGTAAGCAGAGGTCGGACTAGAAGCACGGTCGCTGCAAAGTTGCAATGAAGCTAGATCACAAATAACAGCACGTCATCCAGTACACACCAACAGTCACTTTCAAGAGGCAAAGAAACGCCTTCCCGTGGCAAAGGAATTCGTGTGTCTTGTTTGCATGGAAACTCACTCTCTGTCCGATGATCTAAGCAGCACGCATTTGGCGACGATGAGAAGCAATGAATTAACAGAACAGACCTT